TGCTTTCATTTAAAAACAAAGCGCCACAATCCAATCTCTTAAAACACAATTGATTTTGCATATCACACAATCTCACTCTCACTTTCACCTAACCAATCATATTTGAGCTTGTAATTAGTGAAGCCACCCTGTTTTGTTACGTAATGAAAAAGCTACAAAACTTTGAAATTGAAATATTTTAAAATGTTGAATCTAGTATATGAATTGGAGGAGCATCTATTCCAACAAAGCATAGTGTGCCAATTGATGCGATGGGAAAACTCAAAAGATTTGGAAAGCCGTCCTACAAATGAATCTAGAGGTTTCCTCCATTTACTTCACCCACAAAGTCCAAAGCTTTAAATGATAAAGCAAAATTAAATGCACCTGTCATATTAGCATTATCATATTCATGTTGCTATTGCTGACCAATGATCTCAACACCCTACACAAAATTATAGAGAGTCTATAGGTGAAAACAAAGAAGTTCATTTTGAAACCAAATGCCACACAATATAAGGTGGAAATAGAGTTTGTTATCGCTAATAGGAGAGATTTTGATAAAGTATGTAGCTACTTCAGTAACAGTTTATCCAATGATGAAGTTCAAGTTCTCAAGGAAGTTGTGCAAGGAGATTAATACAGCTATTGCCACAGTCTGGTGGGAACAGATTCAAGATGAGAACCAAATTCATTGGCAAAGTTATGTCAAACTCACTAGAAGCATACTACATCAAGGTTTGGATTTTAGAGATATTGAAGACTGTCCTTTTAGCAAAACAAGCATAGAGAGTTATCAATAATCCATCAGTCTATTAGGTTAGTATTTTGAAAGGAATTCCACTCTTCTAATGGCCAAAAAAACCAACCACCCATCTGGGGCATAGAGCAGCCTACTACTTGGTAGAGATTTGATTAAAAATAAACTTGCTTGGAAGGTAGGAATGAGGAATCTATAGAAGCTAGATGGATCTAATGTATTAACTGTGCTCTTAGGAGATTGTTGATGTTGTTGTACCTATGATTTTGATGATTACAAAACAGATTTGAGTGACTAATTGGTTCATTTAAGTGTAGTTAAAATGTCAAAAGATTGAAAAATAAGTAAACTTGAACTGCACTTAAAAATGGACCAAAAATGCTTGAATATGTGTAGAGAGCTGGCTCTTAAAAGTTGCAGCCGGCTCTAGTGAAATGGAAGTGCAGAGAGCCTGTTCTGGAAGCTGCAGCCGGCTCTACGGGCAAAAATTTTAAGACCATTTTTTGGCGCACACGGAGAAGAGATGCAAAGCCGGCTCCAACTTTGCAGTCGGCTGTAAGAGTGCATTTAATGCTCAACGGTCGACTTATTTGAAGAATAATTAGTATTTTTAAAGTTGGAATACCAAAGCCGGTTTATGTTTTTGCAGTCGGCTGTTCAAGAAAAACAAAATGTGCAGGAAACCTGTAAAGTTGGCTTTGCGTTTTGCAGCCGACTCTACGAAAAAACAGAATGTATAGAATCCCGCAAAGCTGGCGACAGAAATGGTAAGCTGACTGTGTAGAGCTGGCTCTAGAAAGTTAAGCCGATTGTCCTGACAAATTTGCAACTCGAGCTTTGCGTCCTGCAGAGCATTTAATGACCCACAACGGCTAGAAACGGCTATTTTCGAGTAAGGGGTTATAAATATGGTTGGTAGAAGATCTGGAGCAAGTTTAGAGGGCATTGCATTGAATATCTTTACCTACCTACATGAGCATTAACTTGAGTTTTTGATCTTTGAGACATCTTTACTTGTAATCCTCTTCTTGTTCTATTTGTGAGTGATCTTGGGGGTGTGATTAATCCTTCAAGAGTGATCTATAGAGAGGATTCTTGGGGTTTATATTGTAAAGGGGTGAGGTTTGAGGGAAATACTCATCTTCTTATAAAAGGATTGAGTGGCTCCTTGAAGCCACCCTTGTTTTCTTAGTGGAGAGTGTGAAGGAAATCCTTGGTGAGTGAAACCAAGGTAGAGGACTAGGTTCCAAGTGGTTGGACTGAACCTCTATAAAATCATTAAGCAAGCTCTTCTTCTCTACTCTCTTTAATTTTGGTTTTGTGGTTGCAAAAAGGGGAGAATTTTTGGAACTCCATTTCACCCCCCTCTTGGGGTGCATTGAGTCAACAGATGCATCTTACAAGTTAGGTAAATTATCCTTAGATGGGTTAGTAGCCCCACCAATGATATAATCTCTCTTGTATATATTTTGTCATGTAATAAAATAACTATTTTGTTGGCCAAATTCAAGATTCCAATCACAGCGGCAAGTATAAAACCCAACCTTGGAATCGTTGCTGAGTATCATCACTTTTACTTCAAGATTTGTAGAAAAAAGCACTTATTGTAGATATAAACCAATACAAAAATAACAAATTTCAATGAAAATGTTAATATTTGTATGAATATCCTTCTATTTGGCATCAAATAAGAATAGATCCAATTCCTCGATTCTTATGTTTGAAATGGCCACCGTGACAACATAAGTGGATTCATTGAATTCCAAAAGTAAGAAACCTACCAAACCCTCACTGACAATTACAGTATCCACTTGTGTAGAACCTTTATGAAGCAAAAAAGAAAGAGTGAATAAGGAATCTTTAACACATTCTCTTTGTGATTAACTCAAAACCTAACTTCTAGATTGTTTACCTCCCACATTGTTGTTTTATTAGGAGTGAACCAGCTGATGGAGAGTTTCGCAGTGGTCATACCAACTAGAGAAAGCTAAAAAAAACCCTAGTTAGATTGGAATCAATTTAGTTTCTTGAAACAAGGGAACAAGATTTCTCTAAAAATTAGGAAGCATCATCCATCTTGATTTCTTCTTTCTCTTGATCAACCGCATCAATTTTGAGGAATAATGCAATTTTCTCAGTGCATTCTTCATAGTCTTCACTAGATTAAGCAAGTTATGCAAGTAAGGTTTCAAGATTCAACGTTGATAAACCAGATTAAGAACAACTAAAGTAATCACAACCTTTTGCCAAAATATGGAGTTCGGTGACTATGTGGTTGCCATCCTCCACAACAATGGATAGACCTTTCAGGGAGATGCAAAGGATGGCAATGTCGACTTTGAACTAGTGTAGCTTCTCAATGACGGAGAGAAAGAGGGAGCCTTCGCAAATGACAACTTTCAACATGACTTCTTCTGCTTGGCAAGAAGGGAGAGGGAAATGGCTATCTGTGTTTTCAAAGGGAAATTAAGAAATAGCACACATCAATGTTGATTATAGACTTGTATTCACTTGAAGTTTAACATTTGAAGCAATTATAGTCACTCTTCACAATAATCAACTAGTTTACTTTTAGTTTTTGGGCTTAAGATATTTTGGTCCTCAACGATGCCAAAATTTAATAGGTAGATGCTATTAAGTAGGTATTGATAGGTATTGATTTGAATTGGATTTAATTAAGGCCCATTCCTAAATCTATTGGAATTTGTATTTTGAACTTTTATTTGTGTCAGATTGGATTAAATAGCAAGGCAAATTAATTATGAATTCGATTTAAACATGGTTTACTTAGATATTATGTTAAATAGTAAGATTTAAGAGAAAAAGATAAGATAAAATAAGGGGCATCTCCAATTGGCTTTAATAACATATTTCATAGTAATAATAATTAAAGGTACAAATATTAATTTGATCTCTTAACTTTTAAATCTAGATTAAAATTGTGTTTAAACTTCAAAAAGTATCAAAATTATTCTTGAACTTTAATTTTTTGTACCAAAAAAGTCCTTTTGTTAACAAAAATGCCACATGACTTATTATTTTGTCACAAAATCAATTATGTTTAATATATTAATGATATATAAATTAAACAGTCATATTTTGTCATCGTGGCATTAAAGTTAAAGAACCAAATTGATACTTGCAATCAAAGTTTAAAAACTAGATTGGCACTTGTCTGTGAAGTTCAAGGACTAATTAAGTTAGTTTTGATGTGTGAATGAAAATATGTTATATTGACAAAATATGACTGTTTAAGTTTACATGATTGTTTAAGTTTACATGACATTAATATTAAATAAAAAAAACTAATTTTGTAACAAGATAATGACTTACATGACAATTTTGTTAATAGAAGAACTATTTTAATATAAAAAATTTAAAGTTTAGGGTACTTTTCAAAGTTTAAGGATAATTTTGATAAATACCTAAAAATTGAAGGACCAAATAAGATATTTTAACCTTAATTTAAACCAGACGCAACACCATCTCATATTTTTGTTAACATTGTTTGGTTCTAGAATTTTTGTTACATCACCACCACAATTTATATTGTAATTAACCAATATTGTCAAATATGGTATGGGTATGCAAATCAATTTCGCTACTAAAGTATGTGCAATCGAAGAACAATTAAAAATCGTAGATTGATTTCATATTTCATAATTAATATCATTTTATAAACTTATATTTTTATATTATGACTTTTAAATAAAAAATTTAACGAAATACCCCTTCTAACACGTAGGGTTTCCTTAAAAATGATACCTTGACCCGCTTTTTTTTATATTCAATCGTGAAACAAATTTTAATTAAAAATAAAAAAAAATAAAAAAATAAAAACACAGAAGAGAGATGTTTCCTCCCGTTGGATGAAAATTTGTGGCTATAGGCCCTAACATGTGTCAGGCGCTGTAACCCTTTTCGTTATTTTATTATTTTTAAAATGTTAAAAAATTGAAAGGGGCCTTTCTTTCTTTCTTTCTTTCTTCTTTTTTTTTTCTTTTTTAGTAAACAAATTCTTTTTAAGAATTCACCTTTAATTAGGTAGAGTTTTATTTTTATTCTTTTTTAAAAAATAGAATACTAGAAGAAAATATTATTGTACATACTCTAGGATGACACTTACTGTATATAAAAAAATCGTTTGAAATTTGGTATTTAGCATAAATATAAAAGTTGGTATAAAATAAGTTGTTTTTTAAATTTTAAAAGATGGGTCAAAAGCTTAATTTATAATTAATATTTTAAAAAATTAATCATTAAATTAAAATTTTTATTTATATAGATAATACATATTAATTTCACATTTATAATCTTCTTATTAAAAAATCTCTATTTATTAATGTTTTTAATGAAGTTAAATTTTAT